CCCCAAAACCCCAAAACCCCAAAACCCCAAAACCCCTCAAATCTAAAATTTTTAAATGAAAGATTATTAAAAAGGAAATTAAATAACAACATTAAAATTTGGCATGGATTTCAAAAGAAATAAGAATCCCTTATTTGATCTTAAAGGAGATTCAAAGAGTAAAATTACAGGAAGTTAGATAGAAAATGTTACTCACTTTCCCTTACTCAAGGAATCTAGATAAGGCCGTAAGACATTTTCAGTTTCAAACTAGCATTCTACTACGTCAAGGCAAAACAAATTAAGACCGATTGAATTATCAAAATTTTCTTAAGAAAATAACCATCGAAGTAATAATACTCGAGAATCATTATATCAACTTAGTTAAATCGATACGATTGTGGACTCAAATATGATTTCATTGTAAACAGATACCAAATATGGCAATCTCATAAGATTGAATAAAAGACCATAGTATAACAATAACAATAATTCATAGTAGTCTCCTTACTTACAGTTATAAAGTAGAGTACTCAACTAAAAAAGTACGCTCAGATTATAACCGACAGATTATCCAGTTCTTACTTAGCAAGAATATCAAACATTTGACGGAGATGCAACTCGGAGGAATTAGATTCTTAAGTTTAACACAAATATGATTTAGACTCAAATCAAAAGGCAGAAATAATAAAGAAAAAATTCATAGTATAAACTTGATTAGACCATATAAAAGCTAGAAGAAGATCAGAAAATTGAAAAACTTAGAAGTCAGTAATCATAGAGTATTCTTGAAAGAGAAATTCAAGAATTTTAAAAGTAAATCTTAAGAGAAGATCAAGAGTTGGAATAAAGATAATTTAACCGAATCTTGTCTTCGAAGAAATTAGAGAAAATATCTGGAATTCAATAAAAGCAACCAAAAACAAGAATAAAGCAGCTTACCACAGCAAGCTCTAATAATCACAATACAATATAGCCTAGGTAAAGCTTTAATACTGATGCTCATGAAAGAAAGTTGACTAAAGTCTATGGTATGAGTCATGTTTCCAAGCATGGCTTGGAATTTGCAAATATAAAACAAGAAAGATCATCATCTGTGATAGATCACAATTTGATGATGCAGTAGTAATAACAATAAGATAGCCCTAACGGTGGGCATTCTTAAACACCAAAAATCTAGATTGAAAATAATATTAATCTTGAAAATCTGAGAGAATTTTATGTGCCCAAAGTGCTTTAGCGTGGGAGTATTCATATCAATAACTAGCTATCAAGAGATAATATAAGTAAAAGCACTTAGAATTCATCAATTGCATAACTTCTTAATATCTAACAAGACAAACTTAATCTATAAACAATTGATCAAGATGATTAAGAATTAGAGAAGACATTCATGACTAAAGATTAGGAGAAGTTTCCTGCTGTTTAAAAAACAATCAAGGATAAAACGAAATACTTAGATTTTAGACCATTTAAAAATGATTTAAATGCAGTTCTGTAAAAGTACCCTGATCGAGGCTACTTTTTCAAATTTTTCAATCCTTAAACTGATATAAAGTTAATTAGATATACTTTTGAGGATAATGGTTTCAGAGAGTTTACTAATCACAGAGGTTAGAATAGTTCTTTTTCGCTAGCAAATAATCATTAAAATTCATCTTTTATTTCAACAACTGGTGGTAAAAGAGATGAAAGCACTTCAAATATATGCATTGTTATTTGGTCTTGCTAGATTATGAAATCAAGCGTTTATTAGGCTTTGAATAAAAGATAAAAAATAAATCACTTTCCAAGAAGTTATGAACTGACTCGTAAAGATTTTATGAATGAAAGAATAGTTAGAATGGCTTAACTTTTTGGAAGAAGAAATTTTAATTTTACACCAATCACATATGTTCTGCCCAAAGAAGTAGATTTACTTCAAAGAGAGATGGATGCAAATAGAAGATAATGGTGGATCATAAAACCTTCAGCTTCAGCCTAAGGCAAAGGTATTTATATCACCAACAACTTCAGTGAAATCCAAACCAGGTAAAATATAGTTGCTTCTCATTACATTGACAGTCCACTTCTTATTAATAATTTGAAATTTGATCTGAGAATATATGTTGGTATTACTTCTATCAATCCTTTGAGAATCTACATATATGAGGAAGGACTGACAAGATTCGCTACCTGCAAATATGAATAGATATAATTTTAAACAAAGCAGAATAGATTTATGCATTTAACAAACTACTCAGTAAACAAATTCAACAAGAATGCTTTTGTCTAAAATGATAAATCAACTGACTAGGCTTTTGGTTCAAAATGGTCCATATCTAGTCTAAGAAAAGTATTAAAAGAACTAGATATTGATGATACAGAAGTATTTAGAAAGATTGAAGACATTATAATCAAGACAATAATATCAGCAGAACCAATCTTAAATAATGCTTTTGAAATGTATGTACCTTATAGAAATAACTGCTTTGAACTATTAGGATTTGACATTCTAATAGACTCAATGTTGAATCCTTGGCTTTTAGAAGTAAATCTTTCTCCATCACTAGCTTGCGATAGTTCATTAGATTAAGAAATTAAAGGCTAATTAGTGGCAGACCTACTTAATCTAGCCGGAGTAATGAATGTTGATTTTAAGCCAGCAAAAAATGAAATGATAAATGAGTTGAATACTTATACCAAGGGATCTTTTGAATACTAAATTAGTCATAATAAAATCAATAGTAAAAAGAATAAGGTAAAGCAAAAATTAAATGCAAGTATGTTTTAAGATTCATTCACTGCTGATTTAATACCAAGAAATAGAGATATACTAAATCAATATAAAGGTAAAGATAAAGTAATATTGAGAGAAGCAGAGGAGGAATATTATAGAAAGGGAAAATTTAAGCTGATATTTCCCACAGATAACTTTGGATTTTACAAATCTTTTTTCGAGGAGGAAAGACAACTAAATGTGTAGTTAGATAAGTACTTTAGATAAATGGGAATAATCGGAGCTCGTAAAAATGTTTGAACTATATTTACTTATAATTATCTATATTAATAGATGGAGAATATTTCATGATATCTTAATTTCTGATAGTTAATTTATGGGGTTTTGGGGTTTTGGGGTTTTGGGGTTTTGGGGTTTT